TCTTGATTACCATGTTTCAAACATCATCCTGCGGTGGAGAGCGACATTAATCAGAACCGAGGCATAACACATTTAGAGACAACAAGACAGACTTGGCAGGAGCCGGATTCAAAATAAAGGCTTGAAATTGCAAAGGAGGCCACCATGGACTTATTTAATGTGGAGTGCTGAGGTAGATACTCTTATACAGTATATTTAAGGTGTCGTGTTTCCCTCAAGCGAAAGTGGAGGAACACGTCTAGCATATAGTAGAGAAACCTTTCTATGAAACTTTGAAGAAATCATCGCCTCGACAGGGGAATATGCAAGATTTCCTCTCGGTTCAATAGGAAACGGCGGGTGAAAATCAAACAAGGTCAAAACCAAGTCAAGCCTCCTGGTTCTTCTGTGGGCCGCAGGAAGAGATAGGAAGCCAAGAAACAGGCTTGATCGATGTCGTGGAGTGTAGAGAGGAAGAAACAACATGGACGGGTGCAGAGGGCTCGGCTATTTTTGCACCGTCGTACGGAAATGAGCCATAGTCCAGAGAGGAAGTAGATAGGCCAGAAAGTGTCGCGTAGCAACCAGAAGCAGGAAAGAAGCTAGTGTTTGTATACATCTGTTGGTGTTACTCTGGTGTGCAGAACACGATCACAACATATGCAAATACAATGATCCAAATCAGTCTGGACTCCACCCCTTCAGGAATGAAATTTAATGTTTAAATATTATGTAAATGGTTATTCATTTAAATTAACAGCAGTTTATCACTTTTGTAATATTTATTATTAATATTTACCGCTAATAATAGTTTTCCCTCATTTTCAAGCAGGGGGAGTTATATTCATGTTCTTGTGCATAGAGTACATTTGACCTTACTGCAATATAAAACTGTTTATTTTATGATAATAATTAAAGTAATTAATTATTAATACTTTACATTTTATATTTGATATTTAATATATATGTAAAAGTATAATGTACATTATTTATCATTATATTTGAATAATACCTAAATATTATTTAAATGCATATTAACATAAATTGTCAATATAATTAATCTGTTTCTTTTTTGTAATGTTTATTATTAATTTACTTATTGATTACTATAGTATTCCTTTTAGCGTCTCACTCAGTTTTGACATTACTGTATTATTTGATGATTAACTTAAATATCTAAAATATATTTTTACAATTAAAATACTTTTTTATAAATATATAAATATAAAATGCTTATTTTATATTTGATATTTAAATATGTGTGTAAAGGCATAATTGTAATGTGGGGTTTGGTGTTTGGGTTTCATGTTCATGTTTTCCATGTCTTTTATTTTGTATTGTTTCACCCTGTTAGTGTCATGCTTCCCTTGCCCTCATGTATCTCTGCCTTGTGTATGTGTCATGTTCTGATTGGTTGTCTTAGTCATGTGTCTTGTTTCCCATTGGTTTGTTCTTGTCTTGTGACCCTCTTGTCTGCTTTAAGTAGCCATCATGTTCCCATTGTGCCTTGACGTGTATTGATGTTGTAACCCGCTGTCGGTGAGTCAAGTCTGTTTATGCCTAGTCAAGTCAAGTCAAGTCAAGTCAAGTCAAGTCAAGTCAAGTCAAGTCTGTGTATCTAGTCTTTGTCTGTTTGGATGTTTGGATCACCTGTAAATAAACTGCACTTGGGTTCTTCACTACACTCGCCTTCAGTGGACTAACTCGTTACAGAATACACGACCCACAAAATGAACCCAGCAGATCGTCTCGTTCATCTTCGTCAAGGTAATCGCTCCATTGAGGATTATGTTCAGGACTTTTGTGGACTTTGTCACCAAGTGGATTTTAATGAAACATTCCTTAAGGACATTTTCCGCTATGGTTTGGACAAAAATGTATCAAGTTTAATGCCACGCAATACTCCTCACTGGACTCTTGAAAAATACATTGAATTTGCCTTGTTGCTGGCTGATTCACCATTCACTGTGGATGTCATGGAGGAGGAACATGACACTTCCCCAAAGCCTGTTCACGTCATGCCTGCCAAGCCATGGCCTGCTCACATCATGTCTGCCAAGCCACAGCCTGCTCACGTCACGCCTGCCAAGCCACAGCCTGCACACGTCATGTCTGCTATGCCAAAGCCTGCTCACGTCATGCCCGCTACTCCAGGACCTGCTCAAATCATGCCAGTTAAGTCAAAGTTTACTCATGTCATGTCTACAAAGTCAAAGCCTGATCACATCATGTCTGCCAAGCCAGAGTCTGATAACATCATGTCTGCTACCCCAGGGCCTGCTCACATCACGTCTGCCAAACCAGAGCCTGCTCACATTATGCCGGTCACTCAGGAGATTCTTCACAATATGGCCGCCATTGAAGAGCTTCGTTGCAAGATGGCCGCCACACAAGAGTCTCTTCACAAAATGGCCGCCCTTCTAGAGTCTCGTCACGTCGCAGTTGATCATCCAGAGTCTCGTCATGACATGGCCGCCATTTCAAAGTCTGCTCACGCCACGCCTGAGTCCCCGACCAAGATGGCCGCCACGCCTGAGTCCCCGGCCAAGATGGCCGCCACGCCAGAGTCGGACGCGGAGCTTGGGCCAAGACTGAAAAGACTGATTGCTAGTGTGATGGACCCACCTCTGATGTCGGTGCGAGCTACAGGCATCCCAGTGACATCAGCGCTCTCAAGCCCCGCCATCTTAGAGGTCATGCCACACTTTGCTGCCCTTTCTGTAATGGCGGTCGCCATTTTGAGCGTGTGGGCTACACACTGCGCTCCAGAGGCCTCTTCTGTCCACAAATCTGCCTCAGAGGCCTCTCCTGCCTATGAGTCTGTCTCAGAGGCCTCTCCTGCCTATGAGTCTGTCTCAGAGGCCTCTCCTATCCATGAGTCTGCTCCAAAGGCATCTCCTGTCCATGAATCCAATACAATGCCTCCAGAAGTGGTAGCTTCCGCTGCAGAACCTCCAGAGGTGGTGGCTTCTGCTTCCGAACTCACTGCCTGCCCTGTCACGGCCACAGAGGCCGTTCACGAACTCACAGACTGTCTTGTCACGGCCACGGAGGCGGTTCACAAACTCGCTGTCTGCCCTATCATGGCCACAGAGGCTGTTCACGAACTCACAGACTGCCCTGTCATGGCCACAGAGGCCGTTCACGAACTCACAGACTGTCTTGTCACGGCCATGGAGGCCGTTCACGAACTCACTGCCTGCCCTGTCACAGCCATGGAGGCCGCTCACAAACTCTTTGCTTGTCCTGTTATGGCCATGGAGGCCGTTCATGAATTCACTGCCTGTCCTGTTACGGCCATGGAGGCTGTTCATGAACTCACTGTCTGTCCTTTCACGGCCAAGGAGGCCATTCAAGAACTCTCTGCTTTTTCTATCTCAGTCAAGTGGTCTGTCCATGTCTCTGCTCCGCCATGGCTTCTTGCTCTGCCGTCACCACCCGGCCGCCCTGCTCCGCCATGGCCCCCTGCTCTGCCTGCTCCGCCATGGCTCCCTGCTCTGCCTGTTCCACTTCATGGGCCTGGCCCTCCGTCCCTCCGTCCCTCCCCCAGTTCCGCCTCCACTCCACCACCCTCCTGGACTTGTTGGGTTTTGTTTGTGTTTGTTTGGGCGTCTGGAGCCGCCCTTAGAGGGGGGGATATGTAATGTGGGGTTTGGTGTTTGGGTTTCATGTTCATGTTTTCCATGTCTTTTATTTTGTATTGTTTCACCCTGTTAGTGTCATGCTTCCCTTGCCCTTATGTATCTCTGCCTTGTATATGTGTCATGTTCTGATTGGTTGTCTTAGTCATGTGTCTTGTTTCCCATTGGTTTGTTCTTGTCTTGTGACCCTCTTGTCTGCTATAAGTAGCCATCATGTTCCCATTGTGCCTTGTCGTGTACTGATGTTGTAACCTGCTGTCGGTGAGTCAAGTCTGTTCATGCCTCGTCAAGTCTGTGTATCTAGTCTTTGTCAGTTTGGATCACCTGTAAATAAACTGCACTTGGGTTCTTCACTACACTCGCCTTGAGTGGACTAACTCGTTACAATAATGTACAGATATACGCATGCCAACACGATGAGACACTTCGCTATAGGCAAATACAAAAATAATTTTATTTATCATTACATTTAAATAATATTGAAATATTAAAAATAAAAACATCTAAATAAATAAAAGAGATCTAAATGTAATCTTCACACCTTCAAGAAGGCCATAGAGAACATTTGACCTTTTGACCTTAATGGATAATAAATATTATTTATAAAATTAACATTTCTATTACATTTTAATTTATAATTCCTTTAAATAATAATAATAATATTAAAGGATCATGTACTTTTACACATTGAGAATCGCTATAATGTAGGTAAAAACAAAAATCAAAGTCAAGCCACTGATCTCTCATATAATTTTTGAGGACAAGAGAAACATTATGAGCTCTTTTCAGTGCGCACGGGAGTCATGATTAATATGGCGTCGCCAAAAACTCTCCCTTTCCATAATTGGATACAAATGATATATATCAAAATCATTTTCTACATAGGTGGCACTTAAATGTGCTTTACAACGATGAAGTAAATCTTTCGCCCGACATCCTCCTAAAAATACTAACCTTTTTCATCTCTGCATCGCAAAGTCTGGTCCGAGGACTGCCCGTGTGGTCCCACCTTAATCGTTTTCAGTTAATATCACAGCTGGACGGCGGTGGTGGGCTGTAACGCTTGACGACGGGAGAGAAAACCCCTAAACCCGCGTCAATAAAAGACAGAAAGTGATTGCTTCTGACTGGCCAAGTTTTAGGGTCAGACTTGGGATGGTTTCAACAACAACACCGGCACGTTAGTCGTCTTATCGAAAGGCTTTATTTAAACACAGAGCCACCTCGAGCGTTCCCCGTGGCCTCCTTTATTTTCTGCCTGCAGCATAAGTGGTGGCTGACCACAGTGTTTTGATGGGGTGGTCGGCTGCCCATCCTGTTCCCACATTTCCTAGACCACGGCGAGGAAGGCGCTTGTTCAACATGTTTCCCGCCTCAATACCTCCCACGTGTTGAGCACTTTCAACGCGAGATGACATCACATGATTTAAGTGACTTGTGCTACTGATTGCAAACAGACGCTGAAATGTCTCTTCTAAGGAAAGCCTATCCTCACGGTGGCTTGTAAAGCTATTTTTAAATGTATAACAAACAGTTGACTCAGTTATAAGTTCTTAAAGTCAACATGGAATGAAAATGGACCCTATATATTTACTTAAAGGGGTCATAGGATGCCCATTTTCCACAAGTTGATATGATTCTTTAGGGTCTTAATGAAAAGTCTGTAACATAGTTTGGTTTTCTTTCTTTTCAGATCAAGCCGTTTTTGTAGCATTTTCCTTTAAATGTTAATGAGCTCTGCTGACCCCGCCCCTCTCTTCCAAGCTGCTCTCAGAGAGACTGTTTACTTTAGTCGCATTCATCGTGAAACTTGCTAATTAGCACATTATTAGGAAAGGCGATTTGCAAAGATTCATTACAAAACATTATACTCACTTCTTCTGTAGATGAGGCTGGATCATGAATGATTTGCGCGAACATAGACGCATTTATGTAGATCGGGGGAGCATTCCCTTCAGAAACAATGTAATCCACTACGAGTTCAGTGGCTCAGATGTCGGGAGTAAATGACAACTGCGATCTTCATTATTACATCCAACAACAGAACTCCTCAATCACTTAGGAGTCATTCTTGTCTACTTCTGCTCCGGTGGTGAAACAATGGCGGACTGATGACAGCTCACTCAGGGCGGGTCTAAGGTATGACGTCAGTTCAGTCTGTGCTGAAACGCTACTGTCAATCAAACTATCGTGGGAGGGGCCTCTCTGTGTGACATCACACAGACAGGCATCTGAGATCGGCTCGATTTGAGAAAGGGGAAAACATTTAACCAGATAAAAAGAAAAAACACTGGATGGATTTTTATCATTATAGGGTGGTTGTGTACACACACTGCCAAGACACACTTCAGTTCAAACAACTTGTAAAAGTGCATGTAGCATCCTGTGACCCCTTTAAAGCTCGTTTCTGTTCTAATTGTGAAAGACTGATCAGTTTATGTTATTCCAAATAATACAAATAAAACTGACTTGGTCATTTTTAATCCAACGCAGTAATTTAGGCTATATATAAAATGTTCTATTACACAGTCATTATTATATTAATGATATAAATTATATTATTATATCATGCATGTTATTCCAGATTATGAAAATGCCTCTAACCTGTATCTGTAATAAAAATGTATCAATTGCTCCTCAACTTTTTTTGTAGTAATGATTATAATTATATAACATATATTATTCATTACTTATAGTTATAATAATTATGCATACTATTATATAATAATTAAGCTAATTATATAACATATATTTTATAATTACAATTACATAAATATATATTTTGTATTATTATTATACAAATAATTATATATATAATTTAAATATTATATTATTATGATTGTATTATTATTATGATTATATTAAGTTTAATATTATTATATAACAATTATATATACATATATTAATATTATAATTACATTAATTATTATTAATAATAACATAATTTATATTATTACATAATTGCATTCCGTATATATGTCTCTAATCTGGATTATCAAAATGTAGAAATTGCTCTTTCCTTGATTATAATTTATATATATATATATATAAAACGATGTTATATGTGATATTCACAATACTCAAAATTTCGCCTCAGTACCCCTCTAAAGGCCACAATTATCGTGGTTTGTCGTGATGAATGAGAGACGTGTGTAGTAGGGGTTGATTGGATTGTTGCTGGGAGCCGTAGAGATTAAACCGACACGAGCTGCAGCGCTGTCTGTCAGTCCCGTTATTACAAGAGCGTCACACAATGAGGCCTGACCTTCAGTCCATCACAATACATCTGTCTCACCGCATCACAATACAGCTGTGTGCACTGAGTGCGCCTCTCCACCTGAAGATTCTCCACAGCGCGCATGCGCGCCCCGCCGGACCGCTTCACGGCAACAGGCTCGTTAAGTGCGCTGCGGCGCGTGATAATGCAGTCGAATTGATCCGCTCGCCCATTTCTACTTTTCTTCCTCTGCAAGCATTATATTAGTTGATTTCAATAAAGCTATTCATTACGCTGACCTCTACGACGCGCTTCAGACGAGTTTGTTTTATTTGGAGCGGGGAATCAAATAATTCATAAATACTTTAGCACATTTACTGTAAGACAAATATGGTTATCGATTAGGCACCATTATTACAGTCCAACCCCCAGATGAGGCTGTAACAACCCGAAGCTGTTCAGCAGAAGATCATCTCAACTGAATATGTTGGTTTACACGAATAAAATACATAAAAGATGCCAGAAAGATCATTAAATAAAAAGAAAGACTTTGTGGGAATTAACACATAGGCCTAGCAAATGTTCAGGGACTGTTTGCTGAAAAATTACTTAAAATAACTTTTATTATATTATATTAATTATATTATATTATATTATAAACATGGGAAATAGTATCCCTTACGAAAATTAACCATGGTTTTATTGTAGTAAAAGTTTAGTAACCATGTTTTTTGGCATATTGATTACCATTTCTATAACCACAGTTCTACTAAAAAAATACTATGGTTAAACTATGGTTAGTTTAGCAAAACCAGTTAATTTGCGGTTACCATGTGTTGCACTATAGTGACCATGGTTTTTTGGTTTTATTTAAAACCA